GGAACTGCCAATAAACTGAGATGGACTAAGACCATGGAAGGAGCACGTTGGAGAGAAGAGAGATGAGAGGGGCTTGTGCTTTGAAACAATAGTGTAAAAACACCTGACAGATGTCTTAGTGGGATCCTGAGGGGACAGTTGGGATATGGGTGTTCAGAGATGAAGGAAAGAGATCCAAGCTGAGGATATAAATTTGGAAGTCATCTGCTTAGAGATATTTAAAGCAATAAAATTAGGTGAAAGCATCAAGGGAATAAATGTAGGTAGAAAAAAGATGGTTTCAAGGAAGAAATTATCAGCTACTAGTATGTTAATGAGAATTACCACTGTATAGTAATGCAAAGGTTATTATCTTGACAAGATCACTTATTGTGGAGTGGTGGAGAACAAAATGTTTGGAGGGGACTCAAGAAATAAGAACAGCATAACTTGGCATAAATAAAGACAACTCAGGCTGTTTGGCTATGAAGGACATTAGAAAAATAGAGCAGTAGTGAGGGCAGAATGAGTCACAACAATGGATCTGTAGGCAGGTGGAAATAATCTAGTTAAAGAAAGAGAAGAGCCCATTGAAATTGTTTTATAAAGCAATTTAGGCAACAATTCACACAGTCCTAGCAAAATCTCTCACCAATAAAAAAGCTACTCATGAGGAGGAAAACAGAAACCTGGGGTGCGATGGTGGAACTAACTGAATAAAATTCATGTACAGTATTTTTCAAAAGTATAGATTACCACACCTAGAGATTCTGATTTAGGAGTTCCTAATATAACAAAACCCTAATATGCAAATGGACCGAACGGCAAAACAACTGGTCGCTATGATGCGCACTGACCACCAGGGGGCAGATGCTCAATGCAGGAGCTGCCCCCTGGTGGTAAGTGCACTCCCACAGGGGGAGCACCGCTCAGCCAGAAGCTGGACTGAGAGACCCCCCCACCCCCAGTACACAAATGTCGTGCACCAGGCCTCTAGTTAGATATAAAACTCAAGATTCTTCCCCCACTTCTACCTTCCCCCAACCCCAAAACTCAAGATTCTTTATCATGAAGGAAAATTGCTCAAGGTAGAAGAAAAATTTTCAGAATTCTTCTCCATCTCAGTTTAGGAGGAATGACATACTTTGTAAAACAAGAGGGCCTATTTTTACAGAAAACAATCTTTCATTCCACGATCTTATATAATAAAAGGCTAATATGCAAATAGACCAAACGGCGGAACAACTGAACAACCAGTCGCTATGATGTGCGCTGCAGTTGCAAGCCCTGATCACCCCTCAGGGCTTCTCCACCCACCCTGCTCCTGAGGGGCAATCGGGGCAGCAGCCGCCGCTCACACCAGCTGATGGCGCTGGCCCCGATCGCTCCACACCATCAGCGGGTGTGAGCGGGGCCGGCGCCATCAGCACATGGGAGTGGCAGCGGTGGGAGCGGGGCTGCCAGCAGACAGGGGACCGGGGCCGCAGCGGGAGGGGCCAGGCGGGGGCGCAGAGGATGGGCTGAGACCCGCCCCTGTGCTCACC